CAACTCGATTTCTTTCTGTGCCCCGACTGGTGTATCCTCTGCAAAATCTGCACTTCAGTCCCTCTTAAATTAATTAGTGTTTGTATCGCACTTTGCAAATGTGAAGGTTCATACAAATGCCAGAAGTTGGTGATCTGTGGTGCAGCCCATGTTGATTGGAAGGATGAAACAAGCACTTGCCACCTGTTTGCTGCCTTCTTTCCCTTTACTGCAGAAATCCGGTACTTTTGTCATCCGTTTGCCTGCTATTTGTGATAATTGCCTTACGATTTCATGAACCTAAGCGTTGCCAAACGCTTTTTGTGTATGTATTTTATTTAACAAAGGTATTGTTTCTTTTCTCTTCAGAATGTCAAGCTGTCAGCTGAAGTAGAACCGTTTATTCCTCAGAAGAAGGGTCCAGAAACACTAATGATCCCAATGGCGCTTCCTAATGACAGCGGAGGAATTAATGGCATGGAACCAACTCCTATCCCTAGCTACCTGATCACTTGCTATCCATTTGTACAGGAAAACCAATCCAATAGGTAATATTTGGTTGTGATTTTCATGGAAGATGGTCTAGTTTTACACACGTTTAACCTTCTGGTAGGCTTGAGAAGAGTGAGTGACTGTTGGCTTTATATTTGTTTTGTTCACCCTATTTCATCTTCTGACGCTTCCTGGGTGAGGATGAAGCTTCTCTGTCCCCAGTTGTCTTTTTTTTTTTTTTGCTGCTTTTCTCTGTTTATATACTTTATCACTTTTCTTTCCCTGGCTACAGGGGTCTGGGACAAATCCCTCAAAGTCACCTGCTGTGCTCTTGCACCTTCTGGGGCAGTCAAGAGGTCTGTTTCTGAACCTCTGATGCCAAAGCAAGGGTCCAGGTGTCCAACTTGGATCCTGTCATGGTGAAACAGCACGCAGCTAATGCTTTTATTGCACATGGCTGTATCCAGTTCTCTTTGCATAACTAGTTACCCTACGCTGAGTTTAGGAACTGTTTATTCTAGCCCAGATGTATTGTTTGCTGAATGCACAACTTCCATGTTGCATGTTTTGTACTGAAGGCATAAATTGCAGTTTGGTTTTGAAAAATGTACCCAACATTTGCTTAGGACAAGCGCTGCTGCGCTTGAGTAGGTAAGAACAACAATAATCCTTTAGCAACTGCCTGCTACAGATCAGTAAAACTATCCTGAATCTTTACTTTTTCTTTTCTTTCTTTAATGTTTGGGCCTCTGCATTTTCCGTGTAGATGATGGCCTGGTCTCTTGGGGGTTTGAAGAGAAAGAATTGGGTTCATAGTTTCCAAGGGGGTCTTTCTGTAGTATGCTGTATCACAAATAAACACAGGAAGAAGCCTCTATACTTGGGTTTAGTAGTAAGGTCATAAATGCCTGTTTTCAAGTGTGCTTCCCAAGGCCTGCGTTTTCATAGGAATTGTGAACAAGGGTGAGTTGGCAACTTAATATCCTGAAATACTTGGCCCTGGGTTAGCTGATGAATGTCACTGTTCCGTGTGTTTACTAGCTTGCCTTGTGTGAGTTAAGATATCTACTTAGGTCATAAATGTTTTCTGACAGTGAATTTGTAATGAGTTCAAAGTACTTGTCAAAGGAAATGCCTGCATTGTTGATCTTGGCATTTGTATAAGCTTATTAAATTTCTAATATTAAACTTAGAAATAGAGAGATACTTATTTTGCACTTGAATGTAGTTTGAGCTTGTGAATCATTTAATTGGTATCTGTAAGTAGTTCTAATAAATAAGGTCAGTTGTTAAAAGCTAGGGGGTCATGAAATAAGTTAGTTGTGGTTATGTGGTTGGTGGTTTATTTTTTTAAGGGCGTGGTAGAGGTCTGAATTTCTGTGAGAGGAGAAAAACGTACTGAGCAGTTGTCTTTCCTTTTGATTTTTACAGACAGTTTCCGTTATACAACAGTGACATCAGATGGCAGCAACCCAACCCAAATCCTGCAGGACCATACCTTGCTTATCCTATAATATCCGCGCAACCGCCTGTTTCTACAGAGTACACCTATTATCAGCTGATGCCAGCACCATGTGCTCAGGTCATGGGTTTCTATCATCCTTTCCCTTCTTTCCTTTTGATTTTTACAGACAGTTTCCGTTATACAACAGTGACATCAGATGGCAGCAACCCAACCCAAATCCTGCAGGACCATACCTTGCTTATCCTATAATATCCGCGCAACCGCCTGTTTCTACAGAGTACACCTATTATCAGCTGATGCCAGCACCATGTGCTCAGGTCATGGGTTTCTATCATCCTTTCCCTTCAAAACAGCAAGTGCTGTGAATGCAGTTACTACAGAATGCACTGAGCGGCCCAACCCGTCTGGCCAGGTCTTTCCATTATCCAGTCAGCGGAGCAGAAGCACTACCAGGGGGCCAGTCATACAAAAAGTAAGTCTGCTTTTGAACAGAATAAGTAGGTCTGCATAAAGAAAATTCCTTTTCACAGGAAGCATGCATCTCATTTGAGGGAGAACGGGTATATCAGTAGTATCAGTGGAAGGGGAGGGTGGGCAGAAAAGGTGTTATTGAGAGTAGCAAAACTGTACAGAGATATTTTGTAGTAAAATACTTGGTGAGTTAATAAAGCCTGTGGGTATAACATGGGAAACTCCCACTGCCTCTCTGCTAGTTTGGTTTGAGCTCGGAATGACTTCAGTAGAGAGCAAAGGAAGTATACCCATACTTTCTTCTGGTGGGTTGACCTTGGCTGGAGGGCAGGTGCCCACCAAGCTGCTCTAGCACTTTCCTCCTCAGCTGGGCAGGGGAGAGAAAATACGATTAAAGGCTGGCACCTTGAGATAAGGACACGGAAAGATCACCATTTATAGTCACAGGCAAAACAGACTCAAATAACTAAAATAAAATCTTAAAACACCTTCCCCCCACCCTTCCCTTCCTCCCTGGCTCAATCACACTCACTTTTATTTACCTCCCCTTCCCCTGAGTGGCACAGGGAGACAAAGAATGGGGCTTGTGGTCAGTCCATCACTGGCACCTTGAGATAAGGACACGGAAAGATCACCATTTATAGTCACAGGCAAAACAGACTCAAATAACTAAAATAAAATCTTAAAACACCTTCCCCCCACCCTTCCCTTCCTCCCTGGCTCAATCACACTCACTTTTATTTACCTCCCCTTCCCCTGAGTGGCACAGGGAGACAAAGAATGGGGCTTGTGGTCAGTCCATCACACATTCTCTGCTGCTCAGGGGGAGGGCTTCTCACACTTTGCCCCTGCTCTAGCGTGGGGTCTTTCCCATGGAAGGCAGTTCCTCACAAACTGCTCCAGTGTGGGTCCCTCCACAGGGTGCAGTCCTTCAGGAGCAGCCTGCTCCAGCCTGGGCCCCCTGGGGTCACAAGTCCCGCTTGAACCTGGGCTCTTCTCTCCATGGGGCCACAGCTCCTGCCAGGAGCCTGCTCCAGTGCTGGCTGCCCATGGAGTCACAGCCTCCCTCAGGCATCCTCCTGCTCCAATGTGGGGTCCTCCTCAGGCTGCAGGCGGGTCTCTGCTCCCCTGTGACCCCCATGGCTGCAGGGCACAGCTGGCCTCACCATGGGCTGCACCACAGGCTGCTGGGGAACCTCTGCTCCGAGGCCTGGAGTACCTTCTCCCCCTCCTCCACTGACCTTGGGGTTTGCAGAGTTCTCTCTCTCATATCTTGCTCATTATCTCTGTTTCTGCAAAATATTCTCTCCCTTATTTTCCCCTCCCTTCTCAAACGTGTTATCACAGAGGTGTTATGACTGCTGCTGATGGCCTTGGCCAGCAGTGGGTCTGTCTTGGAGCTGGCTGGCCTTGGCCCTCTCAGACACAGAGGAGGCTTCTGGCAGCTTCTCACAGAAGCCAACCCTATAAGCCCCCATGCTACCAAGACCTTGCCATGTAAACCCAATACATTTCTTTAACAGTTCACGCAGAAAATACTGCCAAGAGGTTAATAAATCAGATATTTTTATTACTGTTTTCTTTAATCTTTTGTCTTTAAGCATATGGCTTCTGTTGAGAGCTTCAGAACTTGTGTTTTGCTTACAGCTATGAAGTGAAATCATATGACTTATGTGTTTGTGTGGCTCATCTTTTGAAACAGCAACAACAGTTACAGACGCACATAAAAAATAAACGTCCCCCAGTGAAAAATGTCGCCACTCAGAAGGAGACTAGTTCATCAGGTCCTGAGAACAGAGCAAAGATTGTTCTGTTGGTTGATGCATCCCAGCAAACAGGTAATTCCTTCTCCTGTGTTCTGGGCGTATGAAATAACTAGAACTCCCTGTCAGCCGCATCTTTCCTGAAAGAAGGTGAACCTGGTTGAGATGTGGCTTTTAAGAGAAGTCTTTGCAGATCAAAAAAAATATGGACAGAAGGTGCAGAGACCCACTCGGTATGTCACGTTATAACGTTGCAGTGACGTGGTACTCCTGTGGAGACTTTGCCACTGGAAAAAACAGGCTTTTCAGGAAAGGAGTTCATTATTGTTAATAGCTGGACCTTGTCGTAGTTTGTTTGAACTCCATGCTGCTTTTAATTTTATTAAAAAAGAAATTGTTGTCGTGTGCAAAGACTTTGGCTTTTTCCATTTGTTTTTACAACACGTAGGTTTTCCAGGTCTCTTAATTCCTGCACAAGTAATACCTCTTTTTTTTCTCGCAGACTTCCCTTCCGATATAGCTAATAAGTCACTTTCTGAGAGCGCCTCTACAATGCTTTGGAAATCAAAAGGCAGGCGCAGAAGAGCTTCTCACCCTGCCGCGGAGTCCTCTAGCGAGCAGGGCGCAAGTGAAGCAGACATTGACAGCGACAGTGGCTATTGTAGTCCCAAGCATGGCAATAACCAGGCTGCGGCCATGACCGCAAGGAACACGGATTCTTGTGCAGTGAATGTATGTAAATATAATAACTGAATAACTTTAATTGTACTTGTGTCCCACAGGCTAATCAAAAGTACTAAAAAAAATTTGTTTCTTCCTTTTCAGGTTGCAGAACCATCAGTAAATACAAGTAAGCATTGTCTTAGCTGGTGAGCTGTTTAAAATTTGGCTGGGTCACTTTTGTATTTTTGCTTTACGTTTTGCTAGGACCATCTTTCGCTCTACTTCCAGCATGCTGCTCTTAACTGATCAGGTACTGCTGAAGATACATCTTTGGTTTCCAACCACCTTCACCAAGACCACTGTTATTTTTGCATGAACAAGTGTATAAGTAGCTATCGCTAACGATTTATCAACAGCAGCCTTTTTTTAAAGGATCAAAAAAGGCAGAGACTCCAATGGAAGCGTTCAGACAAAGCTGTGCTTCTGTTGCATTTTATCCTCAAGCTTCCTTACCCTGTTGGACAGCAGTTCATACCTGGGTAGTAACAGGGCCAAAGAGTGAACCTGAGGTTTCTTTTGTCTGACTGCTTCCTGCTGGTCAGTTGTTGGCAATTTGACTGTCATCTGACTATTTCCTAAAGGCAATTCTGCCAGCATCTGAAAATAGCTACAGAAGTAAATGTTGGCAGAGGAGAATTAGAATTCCTCAGAGAATTTTATTTGTATCAAAATTGTGTGCCTGGCTCTGGTGGTGTTCTGTGGTATTAATTCTTTTTTTCATAGATGCCACTTCTTTTTCAGCTGGTGTAAGTTGGAGTAATGTAAGTTCCCAGGCAACTCAAAAAAAACCTTGGATTGAAAAGACTCAGACATTTTCTAGAGGTGGAAGACAACCTGAGCAAAGAAATAATTCACAGGTATGTTGTTAATGGTTCTAAATCTAAGTAGAATGCTTCTTGTCATATGAAAATAAGGAATTTGAAATGGATTATAAAGTTTACATATGAAGAATAGTTAATGAAAACAGTGGATGAAAGGTGTGGAAGCTCAACCTAGAAGTCCAGTTGCACTTTCCTACCTTGTAGGTTTCATGAACTAGCACTGTATCATATATATATATATATATATTGTATATCATTTTATGAACTTGGCAGTCTTCTGCCTATAGCCTGTTGTTTATATGTGTCTACCTAGGAAGAACATACCATATATAAAGTAACTTGTGAAATGAAGACAGTATGGGTGTAGGAAAGTTAGTCCATTTTTTGACTTGTTCACATTTTAGAAGAGGAAAAAATAAATCTCAAACTTCCTAAAGAAAGGGTCTGTGACAGTGAACTAGAATCCTGTGTTCTCACTGCTGTTGTCTTTGAAACTTTCTTTTTAAAATTTATATTGGCATACATACTTTTAGCATTTTTATTATTAATAAACAAGTTTTTTAATGCTAGAACTTGAAGTGTCATGGAAACAAAATCAAGTGTTACAGGATTGCTGTACTTAGTATGTGAGAGAAGGTGGCCTTCCTACTTTTGATAGCCTAATTTTATTGGGGTCGGAGGTACAGGAGGGGACAGAGAAGGCTTGAAACATCTGCCTTTGCTTAAACAGGTTTTGCTGGAATTCAGTGATTGCAGACAAGAATAGCTGAGCTTGATGTGGGAGCTTTGTCGTCTGTATGCGCAGATATATGTGAGCTAGCTTGTCCTGTTTAATCTTCTAGATAGAATTGTTAATTTGTCTTGAATATTTGTGGCTTTATTATATAAAGAAGCTTGCTAATGCTTGTATCTGGATAGCAGTGTAGCAGTTCTCAATCTTTTTATAACCTGTAGTCAAACTGGTGGCTTTGAGAAGCCACTATTTGTGGTTTATGGCATTGGGAGAATAGGAAGAACCCGATTTCCTTTCATCCAGTCACAGTGTAGAGTCTAATTCTGGCAGTTATTTTAGATACTTACAAACAAAGCTGGCACAAAGACTTTTAAATGAGGTTTCCCCAGCCAAATTCACTGTACCTCAAGGCAGAATTGTCCTAGAAACTATTTTCCTTTGAAACTAAATTTGTACCAGGTCTGTAGGAAACTTTTCTTGAGAAATAACATTAGTATGAGGGAGCCAGAATTTCAGATTCAAGTCACGCGTTGCTGCCAGCCAGCCAGCCCTGCACATGGGTTTCCACCAGCCTCTCGCGTAATAAACAGAAGAATGTTTATACTGCTGTTCTGAGGTCTCTGGGCCTTAGAGAACTCTGTGCCTGGGCATTGTCATAAAACATGTGTTGAAAAGGCAATAATTGCATCCAGAATAATGATGTAGCAGGAGAGTGCTTTTGATCGTGGTTACAGACAGCTCCTCAGGATTTGTGTCTGAGTTATGTAGGGTCACCCAAAACTCTTGTTGTCTTCATGTTTGGCCAAAAGGACCCTGCTTTATAAAATAGAAATTTCATAGATGAATGTGTAGAGAGACTGTATTTGGCTTGAGGGGAGAATAATCTGCTACTATCTGTAGAATGTTTGTGCAGGTTTTAAAAACCCTGAAGTTATTAGTTATTAAAATTATTAAATCTAATTCTGTAAGAAGTGTATCTTCTCAGCTGCTAATTAGCAGACATGAGAATGCACGCACACGCATCTTGAAAAATGGGAATTGCAAAATGCCAATCACTTTCATTGTGTTCAGTCCGGCTTCAGATGCAGAGACCACAGCACATCTTCAGAAAGAAGGCAGAATCTGCAGAAGCGACACGAAAAACCTCTAACTGCAAGCCAGTCAAGCAGAACAGAGCAGAGTCCTGAACCTCTGTATTTTGAGGTAGTGTTGTATGAAAACTGTTTCTGCATTATAGTGCTTGTGGGAGAGGTGATGCTCTCTATAGGGAGGAGTTGCAGAACCTCTGACTCGGAGGTGTACAGTACAGTGCACTAATTGAATTATTATATGATGCTTTCACTGTGTATGTAACAAGACTTGTATTTGGGTATTGTGTAAAGTGTAAGATTTCAGACGATCCGTGACTGAGAAATAAGCAACTTTCAAGTAACGCTTTTATTTCCAAGTGAACAGAAAATTATTGCGTTCTCGGGTGTATCTTTCCTTCCTCCTAATTGTAATTGGATTTCTTTAGTGTAAACCATTAAATTGTTCTTTTTTCTTTGAAAAAGGCTTTTTGGACACAGAAATACCTGATTTTTCATTGCTTCCCATTTGTACCACTTTTAAGGCATTCTAGCTTATGTAGGACTTCAGGATTCAATTAATTCTTCTAACTTCAGCTGTTTCAGTTGATGCTTTTCATGTGACTTTTTGGTTCTATTCTCATAATTCTTAATTTGTGTATTAATTAGGACGAAGACGAATTTCCAGAGCTAAATAGTGACAATGGCAGCAGCAAGAGTAGTAACATCCAGCAAAAGATTTCACCCAAAGTAGTAAGTAATTATGATGGTTTGCAAACCATTTCAAATTTAAGTTGTTCTGAGACTTTCTGATTTGTGTAATTCTTTGAGTCTCTGCTACAGTACTTATAATGTGGTGATTGTGATGTTCTTGGGGTATTTGCGTTACCAGTTTTGGACGCTAAAGAAATGCCAATTCAAGTGGTGCAGAGGACCCATTTTAAAAAGAAACTGCTGGATTTTTGTCTGCTACTGAGACTGGTAACAAGTGAAACTGTAACATACATAGGATGGACACTTAAAATATCCCAGGGTGGAAGGGACCCATAAAGGTCATCAAGTCCAACTCACAACTTCTCCACCTCACCGGTGGTTTCTCACGGGTTTTGTGCTTTTTGAAGTCACGGGCTAAATTTTGGGTGAACAGGAGTTGTAGTAGGATTTGAGGTTGTTTTAGGGGTTACCTAGCTTTCTTTGTGTTAATATGTAAACTGCATCCTGGTTATCCTTTCTGACTCAAGGGCTTGCATTCAGGCTGATGCTTTGCAGACTTTACTATATATTTGCAGATTTAAGAAATCCTAAGAAATGGTGTCAATTTTTCAAAATAGCTACAGTTTTGCATAGCTTATTCTGAAATGAAAATAAACTGAACTTTATCTGCTTTAAGGCTGTAGAAACAGGTGTTGGAAAGAGGCTCCTAACACCTGATCTACTTAAATGCTTTGTTGCAGAGCCGTACATACAGACTGCTTAATCTATTTGTCTGCTTTCCAAGAAAATAAAATCTTACAGGAAGTCTTTGCAGGGGTTGGAAAAAATACTCCCTTATTTAGCAATCAGACTGGAAAACCTTGTGAAGACATAACTGCAGATAAATGTAATGGTTTTCCCATACAGAAAAGACATCTGTTTCTAGTTTCATTAGCTTGCTGTGTCATCTAGCTGCACTTAATTGGGAAGTCGTACCGCTGACCAAAGTGATAGTTCATTTGGTTTCTGGAGTGCCACATGTCCTGCGGTCTTGAGAGAAAGGACTTTAATTGTGGGTGTTTTCTGCATTTTGTTTAAAATCCTAGTTGGATGACTTACCGGAGAATTCTCCAATCAATATAGTCCAAACTCCAATTCCCATTACGACCTCCGTACCAAAGCGTGCGAAAAGTCAGAAGAAGAAGGCCTTGGCAGCAGCTCTTGCAACAGCTCAAGAGTACTCGGAGATAAGCATGGAACAGAAAAAACTTCAGGTGTGTGTTGCTGGCCCCCATCCCCCCAGTAGTTACTAAAGAGGAGTATCAATTAGCTGTTGCTCCTCTTTATTCTCTAATAGCAAGAATCTCATTGTGAAGAATGTCTTGCAGGCACTGTTTTTGTGTAATTATCAGCATGTGGTGCTCACGTTACAGGAGGCTCTATCAAAAGCGGCTGGAAAGAAGAGCAAGACCCCTGTTCAGTTAGACTTGGGCGACATGTTAGCAGCTCTTGAAAAGCAGCAGCAAGCAATGAAAGCCCGTCAGATCACCAATACCAGGCCCCTCTCATACACAGGTATTTCTGAGCTGCTTGGCTGTTGCTGCATGCTTTTTGTGACAAGTGTCATCATGCCGTTTTTCCTGTTTTAGTTTTGAACGTAATAACCTTGGAAGACTTTCTTAATGTATTTCTCAAAATTCCTCTGCCCTGTCTTCCTGTGAGCATGGTGAAGTGGTGAAAGTCCACACAGAACTGAGGAGAGACTTCTCCTAAATGACCTACTATTCAAAACTCGGGATTCTTTTCTTGAGTAATTCAGTGCTGAAATGAACATGTGAAAAGAACTATATCAGTTCAAAACAGACATCTCCTACAGATACTACTGAATTGTCTTTGAAAGCAGTTTATAGAGGATACCTATCAGTGATACAGAGGGATGCCTCTCCAGGATATTCTTCCTGGCTCCACTAATTATAGTTCAGGGCCTCCTGAGCCAAGGCTTTCTCAAACCAAATGTGTTTCTTAAACTATCCATCACTTCTATCACCTGCTTTTATAGTCCTCAAGGTCCAACAGCAGTGATTCTAACTTTATTGCATGCTGTGTGGAGAAGATCTTCCTTCTACTGAGATTTTTGGGGATGGGTGTCAGGGTTTTTTTTGTGCCCCACTCATAATTTTGTTAGTTTTTCTAGCCTTTTTATTGCAAAGAGGCTGAATAATCATTCCCTGCTCTCCTCTATGATTCTTAAGGTCCATCATCTCTTTTCTAGCCTGAAGAGTCTTAGTCTATTCAGTTATTCCACTGAGGAAGCATGCCTTTTCCAATAACCCATATTGCTTTCTCTGTACCTTCTTCTGGCTCTGCTGTATCCTTTTGAAAAGAAGGAAGATCAGACATGCCCAGAATATTAAGTTGTTATGCTGTCATCATTGTATGCGATGGCTTAATGATGCTTCTTTGTTCCCTTTATCAACACTTAACATTAAATTAGCTTTTTTAATGCTGGCTGCTGAATACAGAATGGATGATTTTGTCCTTGTCTACTATAACCCACAAACCTCATTCCTGAGCAGGAGTATGTAACCTAGAGTCCATACTTATGCACATAGTTACCATTTTCCTGCTTGTGTGTTGCTTCGTTTACCTGCTTTGAGTTTTAGCCGTGTTCAAACATTAATTCAAGTTGGCAAGGCTGTGTCACACAAAGCTCAGCAAAGAACAGTTGGCACTTCCATTGGAGACCACGTTTGTTTTATCCCCTTTCTTGCAGAAGATACACTTAACCACATGCTGCGCACTGTCTTCTGTTTTGTCCTGTCAACTAATCAAGTCTTTGACAACTAAAAATCAATGTTTGGATAAATATTTGCAACTTATCTTACTAATAAAGCTACATGTAGTCGTAGGAGAGATCCTTTACCAGTTTTAAGGTGCTTCCTTTCCTGGAATCCATAGTTTCCTAAAACATGAGGCTAAGTTGACGAAAGCTTAAAACCATCTGGAAGCGACAATATCTGATGACGTAATTTTCCTGTCATTATGAACGATGTGTTTCCAAGGAAGGAAAATGTACTTTGAGAATGCATCAGTGGAAATTCTGAAAGCCGTGTTGAAATAAAGCTGACCTATGTTTTGGTGAAACTAATGTCTGTCTTGTGTTTAGTTGGCAGTGCTGCTCCCTTCCATACCAAAGAATCTGCCAACAGAAAGTCCTTAACGAAGGGACAGCTGTCCATGGGCTGCCTTAATCCTTTGGATTCAACTGCCCCAAAAGTAAAAAGAGGAAAAGAGAGAGAGATTGCAAAACTGAAACGCCCTACAGCACTTAAAAAGGTAAACATGTCAACTCTGGAGCGTCTTGACCCCACACTCACGCTTCAGAAGCAAAAACTGTTGCATGCAATGTAACTTACACCCCCATAATTAGTCGAAAGTGATGCAGATCTATCTCAATGCAATTGCAGGGATGTTCTTTAACCATAAGCACTAGGACATAGGGGAAAACTTGCATCGTCTTTTCATGTTGTTGAACTGTAGTTTGTAGTGCAATGCAGTATGCTAACCTTAAATTTTCCTAGATTTTTTTTTTTTAGAGATGGGTCTAGAACTTGAAGTAAAAGCACTATTTTTAATTGAGTAGATCTAGAAATAATTTGTGGTATCTGTCTATATACATGCACACGTAAAGTAGGTATGTACACAGAGTACAGGATGTATGGAAATCGGAGGGTAAAATACAAAAAGTAGCTCTCAAAAGGAAGTTTGAAAGCCTCTTAAAAAAAAAAAAAGTCAGGCACCAGTACTCATGCACCACATTGCTTGTCGAGGTCACTTCAGTTTGGGCAGTCGGAATCTGGCAAAGCTGTTTGTACAAAGGTTGGCTTTGGCCAAATGACTTAGCCCTTCCCGACAGTCTCTCTTTCTGACCTACCCGTCATCTCCTTGAGCTAGAAACTCACAGCTACCTGTTCAGAGATGCTTTCTACACTCTGCTGTCAGTGCCTTGGTGGTGTTATCTATCGTAGTGATACCAGTGTATCCATGGCTACTTACCTTTGCACTTCCCTTTCCTTTACGGAAAGGATTCTTGCCGTTGTGTGCCTCAGAGGTGACTAGTATTCCTGGGTAAGGTGGTGCTCTGCAGGGGTGGGGATGAGGGAGTGTTACATATCAGAAAGAAGCTGTGAAAGTATTTAAACTGCTGAAAGCCCTATTTGTGTAGGGGAGCATTGAGTATACCACGTGTAAAATGCTGGAATGAAATACTCCTTGTGATCAAAGAGGAAACGGAAGTGACTACAGGGTTTTCTATCCTGGCATGAGTAGGAAGGTTCAAAACAACTTGGTTAGCTTTATTTCGTGTTATGTTCAGTCAGATGGACATTTTTCTTTACAGGTATCTCTAATATTCACATGCTAATAGCTGTTGGCTTTGTTCCTAGATTATTTTGAAAGAGAGAGAAGAGAAGAAAGGCCGTCTCTCAGCTGACCATAGCCTTTTGGGATCTGACGAACAGAAAGAGGTTCCTATAAACTTGACTGCGGATCAGTCTCAGGAGCTGGCCTCTCAAGAAGGTTGGTCTCTCTCTAGTCCCCCTTCCTTCCATTCCCAAGTTGTACTTATCTCCTTATTTTAATATTTTGGGGTGTTTTATACAACACGATTTTGTTACCTTTTAACTTTTTTTAACATTATGCAATACTGGCAGTTGGAACCCTCTTCTGAAATGTCATGTCTGTCCCTCAGTTGTGGAAGGCTCGTGCAGGCTGGGTTCTAAGTACATAATCTCCACGTACAGCCTTGCAATTCATTTCTCGAGTGGATGTTCCCAAGACGTGTCAGAGGTGATAGCATTTTTGATAAGCAGACAGAATGTGACCTGATGTTGATCACAGTGCTTCTGAATGATGAGCAGACCGCACCTTTTCCAGATAGAGAAGCTGCAAACTGTTAATAAGGTTTCCCAGTTTGTTGAACGCTCTTTGTCAATCAGCTGCTGTGTCTTAGACTGTTGATTGCAGCAAAAGCGCTGAGCAATTCCAAAGGATTTTCCGTCTGTGTTGGGTGGGGGAGGAAGGGGAAGGGTGTCTATCAGCGTTCCAGATACACTGCTTCAGAACTCTTCTATGAATGACCTGCCTGATTTCCTCTGGATGAAGGTAAGTGCAGAAGTCTTAAATATTCTAGGAATAAGTTAGTTAAATATAACATTTATAAATAACAAAGAATTATTGGAAGAAGCTATATCATTTAGGCAGGTTTTCCCTTCTGTTCTATCCATTTCCCAAACTAAACCTTGGATATTTCTTAACAAATGCTCACATATTGCTTGTTAAGAAATATGTGCAGGTTTTAGTTGGGACGGAGTTAATTGTCTTCACCCCTGCTGAGTGTTGGGTATGTGCTGTCAACTACCCCTTCAGGGAGGGGTACTGTTTAGTGTTTTCAGAACATGTAATTTGGAGAAAGGAAGGGAGCGATACCCAAGAAGCGTGTTGCTGTTTCGTTGATGTGAAAATGTCTTTGCACTTTAGAATGTTTCAAAATTGTCTTTCAGAAACTGGACTGAGCATGCCAAGTGATACTTCGCTTTCGCCAGCAAGTCAGAATTCTCCCTACTGTATGACTCCAGTGTCACAGGGTTCACCTGCCAGTTCTGGAATAGGCAGCCCAATGGCATCTTCGGCAATAACCAAAATTCACAGCAAGAGATTCAGAGAGTAAGAGTTTTGCATTATTAATATGAATTCAAGGCTTGCACTTCAGTCACCCTCGTCTTTCAGGTATGGGTGGGTTTAGTAGGCTTAGGAGAATCTCAAGGAACATACACTGCCCTTTCATCGGCAGAAGTTTCTGCAGGTATTTTCTTCTCGGTTGCTTCTGGCATTTACTGGAGTATTTATTTGAATTTTTTAATGCTTTTTCAACCAACTTCTTGAGGCAAGGGATATTACTGAAAATGCACGTGTTCAGGGTGTATTTTTAACAGTATGCAGGCCTCTCTGAATCCTTTTAATAACTTTAGTGACAGTCTTATAACTTCTGAGGAAGTGAAATTATTTTTGTTCCGTAAAAGAAAAGGCTCAGTGAAATAGTATTGATTATGTGCTATGCTAATACTTGATGTTTTCTGGTTTGACAGGTACTGTAACCAAGTTCTAAGTAAAGAAATAGATGAGTGTGTGACTCTCTTGTTGCAAGAGCTTGTCAGCTTCCAGGAGCGTGTTTATCAAAAGGATCCGATGAGAGCTAAAGCAAAGAGAAGACTTGTTATGGGCTTGCGTGAGGTCACTAAGCATATGAAACTAAACAAGATCAAGTGTGTTATCATATCTCCCAACTGCGAAAAAATCCAGTCAAAAGGTAAAAATGATAAAACAAGTGATTGCGTGTGGTGAAGTTTTGCTGACTACTCACGGTTAAAATGGGAGAGTGTTGTATCGCGCCGTACTATGGCTTTAACTGACTAGACATCTATTCAAAATTGTTTTCTTCAAGGTGGACTAGATGAGGCTCTGTATAACGTCATAGCCATGGCACGGGAACAAGAAATTCCTTTTGTCTTTGCTCTTGGCCGTAAAGCTCTTGGCCGCTGTGTGAACAAGCTGGTTCCTGTCAGCGTAGTGGGTATCTTCAACTACTCAGGTGCTGAGGTGAGTAACTCCATTCACATCAATGACTGGAGTAAACACTTATGTTCCTTGGAGCTGAGGATTGATTTTGCATGGAGAGCACCCCTCACTAATACGCATTTCGTGATGGCCCTGACATGATCTCTGTTGGAGTGGGTTTTTCTTTGAAATTCCGTATTTACAGAACTGAGACAGTATGTTGAAACACTTGGGTCGCAACATCTCTGTAGCTTTCAAATAGACTTAAATGCCATCAGAAACTCTCTGAAAAGCAGTAACTTAAAGTAAATACACCTCCTCAAAGTTGCCTAAACATGGGGTGGTGTTTTTATTTAATACAGAGGAGAACTGATTTTTAGTTAAGGTTAAAGCTGTTTGGTGTTAATGAGCCAAAGGCTCATGACGTAGCATGCCTTTGACTAAAAGGAGCAATTTAAAGTAACAACTATCAGTAAGAACTACTGACTATAAAAACTGCCTTCATACTTAGGACCTATTTAACAAGCTGGTATCGCTGACTGAAGAGGCCAGAAAAGCATACAGAGATATGGTTGCTGCCATGGAACAGGAGCAGGCGGAAGAGGCCTTGAAGAATGTCAAGAAGGCACCCCATCACATGGGCCATTCCCGTAACCCCTCTGCAGCAAGTGCCATCTCATTCTGCAGTGTTATTTCTGAGCCCATATCCGAAGTGAATGAGAAGGAATACGGTAAGTAGATTAAAAGTCATCTTTGTAACTAGAAGCTAGAATTTTCCAAATGCTGCTTTTTGCAAAATGTAGCTAAAAAGACAATATTTCTTTATAATTCACAGTATTCTACAATTTTCAGGGCTAAGAGAAAATTGATTAGTCTTCAGGTACTTTTGTAAGTCTCTTTTTTTCCCCTGAACTGTATCGAAAGCCAATAATGTTCATTTCTAATCCTCAGATCTGTTAGAGTTACCTAGCTCAGGTCGGCGGGGTGGCTTCTCCACTTCTGTCAACTGGTACCAAACACAGAATTAATCATATGTTTGAGGAAGAATTATTGTCAGAGGGTAGGAACTAAACTACTGAGGTCCCCGAGGATGGGATGTGTAGCTTAAAATTTTGCCACTTGAGGTGGCAATGAATGATTCCATTGTGAGCAAAAGGCAGATTTATTTCTCTGGTTGCTTAAACCCAGGTGACAGAGGGGATAAAAGGGACAATGCTTGTTTGAAGTCAAGACACCTCATCTTGAGGTGAATTATAAAGAATACTGTCTTGGGTTTAGTTAATTATTTTGTGGTGCCTGAAACTTACTTATTAAATGAGTTTTTTTTGAAAAATCCTTGAATAGATGACTTAATACTGTGGTAACTTTCTGCTTTTAATTTATACTTGAGAGTAGTCTCCTCAACTACTTGCACAGTGCTTCCACAGTTTACAAAGGAAACCAAGTGCACAAACTTCCAACTTTGTGATGTCTGGTTTAGGATACTGTAAAAAACCAAAGGTTTTCACAGCTCTTTCTGTTGTCTCTCCCTTCTTCCCTCTTTTTCTAATTGAAATTTTTCTAGCAAGCATAGAACAGTACTGACATTATTAGCTCCTACTGCTATTTAACCAGTTCTGGGGTGTTCAGGAGAAATCTTTTCTTATAGAAAGAATTAATGTTTCCTACTTCTTTTGAAACTTGCAGAAACCAACTGGAGAAATATGGTGGAAACATCCGATGGGTTAGAAACCTCTGAAAATGAGAGAGAATCCTCGTGTAAGACTGCGGTACCGGAAAAAGCTGGTAATGGCCAAGCTGAAAAAGCCACTCTTAACAAGCAACCGCCTCTGGCTATAACTGGCACTACCTCAGCAACGAATCTTGGAAAATCCACACCGGCTGACAAAGATGAGGTGAAACCAGATGACAATCTGGAGTGGGCCTCGCAGCAGAGCACAGAAACGGGATCGCTGGATGGCAGCTGCCGAGATCTTTTGAATTCCTCCATGACCAGTACCACCAGTACTCTTGTACCAGGGATGCTGGAAGAGGAGGAGGAGGAGGAAGATGAGGAGGAGGAGGATTATGCCCATGAACCGATTTCTGTAGAGGTTCAGATTAACAGCAGAATTGAATCTTGGGTTTCAGAGACCCAGAGAACTATGGAGACTCTTCAGCTTGGGAAGACCCTTAGCGGTGCCGAAGAAGACAACGCGGAACAAAGCGAAGAGGAAGAATTAGAGACTTCCGAGCAGGCCGAACCAGTCACCGATGGTGAGGAATGGACAAATGATAAGCACGCCAGTAACGCCCAACACAAACCCACCATCTGCAGCTCTTTGAATAAAGAACACACAGATTCCATCTACATGCCGTAAAAATAAGCAGGAACTCAGGAACTTCTTAGGAACGATAGTAAAACTAACTGGTGTAAAGGTTGCAGCCATTATTTTGTATGCTTCATCTCAACGTTTTGCACTGTTAAATGTTTAATACGTCTATTTAATTCACAACAATATTTTTGTAGCTGTCTGTTACTTGTTTGATTTGAAAACTTGCTTAGCTTTTAATCAGTATCTGCTTCCCAGAATAGAAACTGTGTGGAAAATTTGTCAGTAAGCATTCATCTGATCTTGTGTAAAAGGCAGCATCTTGTAACTGACCAGTTCTAAGCAAAAATCTGTTAGGATGAGGCCGTTTAGCTCATTTTCAAACAGATAACCTACGTTAAGACTGACAAGTTACCAACACTACATCGGTGTTCGGGTGTTTTGCCAGGCACGTGGGTTTTTGGCCGTGGTTTTCTGGGTTTATCTAAAAAAAAAAAAAGCTAGAAAAGCCCATTTGCAGCTTAATGAAGAGTAAATAGTAGAGAAATGTAGGCGTGATTCTTGTGCTGACAGATGCAGCTTTTTAGCTGGGCTTCATGAATGCATTGTGGAAAAGCTGCTGGTGGCTGAGACCTTACAATAGGGTCTGACAATTCCAGATACACTTTAAACTGGAGGGATATAATTAATGTTTTGGGGTTTTTACTGCAAGGTGGAAGTATTGCATTTAAGAAAAAAGGAAAGAAAACAAGAATTCCCCACGCTCTCCACAGTCGCTGTCTGCCAAACCACGCTCAGTGAGTCATGAACCGTAATACTCCCTATCCAGGGCTTCTAGTAGACTGATGACTTCCTCTTTCTCCTGTCATTTACCTCAGGAATCTGCTGGTTTGCATACTCTACAACCTACGTAACGTTGCAAAAAGGCAGGAACAGTCCCTTAACAGCAGGTGTGACTGCGGTGGCTCAGCGTGTCTCCGCCTTCACGCTTTGATCCTGGCCCTGCCTGTTGGAGTCCAGGATGCATCTGAACAGTCTTTACTCGAAACGTGACCTCTTCTGGGTTTTTTTTTGTCTGGTCTTAGAGCTGTAGCAGCTTTAGGAGCTGACCTCCAGAGTAGAAAAGGAAGTAGTTATTCCAGGAAAGGAGGAAGTGCCCTGGAGTACGGGGGAGGTGTTTCAGTGCTTCAGAGGTAAAAGAAACAAACCCACGTCCTCCCCGAAACACGCACGTTGCTAGAGAATCGTTCCTTGTGTCCTGAACGTGGAGGCGAAATCCGCTGGCTGGCGATGACTTGCTTTCACACCGAAGTTGGAAGGTGTCTAAACCTTGCACGTAAGGAATCCGTTTTCCATCTCTGTCTCAAAGCGGCGAGGGATGCGCTGAAACTGCCAGCAGCAGGAGCCTCACTGCACGAGTAGCCAAAGAGTAACGCACGTGAACGACGCGGCAAACGTATTTCTCTTCCTTCCACTTCATTTTTCTTGATCGCTTGCATCAAAGAGCATAAAAACCCTCCGGGTAGGCTGAGAAACACGAGGTGGATAGCTTAGTTTGGCGTTTAGCCCACACTGAACAGGGGACCAACGCTTACCGTACTGCTGGTGCTGGCATTTGAAGTTGCACTGGGAAAACAAGGCTCCAGGTTTAGAACTCCTCTACCCCAGGGGGGTGTTGGATGCTAATGAGAAGAGTAGAAACTGTGTGTATTATGTAAATAGTGCTTTGATAGGTATAGGCATAGCGAGTGCTATGTAGATAAGCAGCGTAGGGAGCTGCTAGGAGAATTAGTTCCTCAGTGTAATCTTCCTAGGTGTTTTGTAGGGAAACAAAGACTTAGGGAATGATGCCTCCTGAATGTTCAACCTTTTACTCTACGTGTGGCAGATTTCTACTGTCGGTATGTTTAGAAAGAGTTCTTGCTTTAGGAAATGATAGGTGTTTGAACTGCTGACAAGCAAAACTTGCCCTTGGAGGTGTAAGCCCGCGTCTCGACGCCGGCCGAGCTCGGTGTGTACGCTGAGGGCGAAACTTTTACCAGAACATCAAAAAAAACCAAGGTGTTTTGTAGTTTTTTCATTTTTGCTTTTTCAGTGCCAGTGATTCAAATAACTTTTGATCTTGAAGTATTAACGTCAAAGGCGCATCTTTTTATATGTCTTTTTCTGAACTTGGACTGTCATTTTAAAGTTTTCTGACATTTATATCAAAGGAGTCTTGTAATATTCAGCCCACTATTTAACTGCAATTTTGCTACAGGTTTACTAAGAGTTCTGGAAGGTGATATAGCACTTAATAGCTCTCAATTTGCCAGTGATTAAGGAACTGGTCTCTAACACGTGGCAGATCACCCTTAGAAGAGCAAACTGAAACTGAGTGAAGGAAGCTGGGTTTCGGGCTTCCTTTTCGATAAGCTGGGAATGAGCAATAACTGTGAGAGGGAGATGACAATTCCTTTGGGAGTGATCCCCTGGCGTCTGAAACTAGGGAAGCTCCTTGCCACCCCAAGCACTTGAGGAGTGGATCTCACTGTGGTAGTTTTGTTATCACCAGAATTGAGCAAGAAAGCAGACAAATGTTTTGCAATACTGTGATGATGATTATTTTTTAAAGTAGCCAAGTTTCTATTTCGGTATAAAAGTCTGTAGTTTATTATACAGGTTGCTCCTGTCCCCAGGAAAAGATGTTTCTGTAGCTGTAAGTGTGTAGATATTTTTGGTGTGGAAACGATTGTTGGGGAAACAAATCTACTTTTCTGCAGACGTTCTTTATGGAAGTGATGTCACCGCTTAGGTTACTGTTGGTTTTACCAGATGAGGGGTCGGTGGTGTAGGGGGCTTTTAAAGCTGATGGAGGTGGCGATGCGTACGACCTGTTTATATAAATAAGTATCTGTGTCAAAAATCATACTACAGCGTGGATGGCAAATGTCTAAAAGGGAAGAATTCTGAACTCTTGGCCTTAGCTGGACTGGGTAGCGGCATCCGAGCAAGGGTGAGGACCCGGCCCTGCCCACGCGCGCTGGTTCCGCTGGCCGAGATCGGTGACCTGTTTATCTGCTGGAGGGCTGAGCAGGTGGCTGCGGGGGTGGAATAACCAGTGACGGAGGGGGTGACCTGTGTTTGAGGAGTTCGTTATAGGACGTGTTCGGTAGTGCGCTCGTTGGCCGTCTGGTGAGGACAAGAGGAGTCTGTGTGATGGGG